GCAAGATCAGCGAGGCGCATGGCCTCAAGCTGATTGATGACATAGATCTCACTAGGAGTGATACCCTGGTCATAACGGTCGAGTGCGCGTTGCATGAAGAGGCGACGATAGTGAGCCTTGAAGGCACGGATGATACCAGCATCAGCAGGTTGAACGTGCGCGGTGAGGTTGGGAGTGAAGTTGGCAACAGTGATGTTGGTGAGACCCTCAGGAGGGACATGACCACTGAAGTTGTCTTGAAGAAGAAGAATAGACCTATTCTTCTTCCTCAATTCAACATCCCAGTCATGGATCCACTCCTGGTAGAGTGACGTAGTCATCCAGGCCTTGGCATTGTTGCGGTAAAGAAAGCCGAGTTGCTTACCGGTCTTCTTCTGGATGCCCGTGGCTTTGCAGCTTTACCAATGATAAAGGGAGGAAGACGCTCGCTGCCATCTGCATTCATAGTGACTGCATATGTAAGGCGGCTCTTACTCCCCTTCACACCAGAAAGCTGCTTGGCCATAAGACCACGGTCAGGAGGCATACTGTAGGACATATTTAGTCAAAGCCAGTGAACATAATTTAAGTCACGCACGCCCAGAAGAGGCCAGTCTCATCCATGTTCCAAATATCCTTCAAATGATAGCCATGCTTCTTGATAAGCTCGCGCACCCGCTCCTTCTCCTTCTCTACCGTCTCAGGATCTGCAGAAGCTGCTTCTCCATGACGCTTGAACTCGCGAAGGCCGCAGCGCTTCTTGAATGATGTGAGCCAGCCATCACTGAGACTCAAACGCTCATCAAGAGGCACTTTAGCCAAATCAGCGAAGCGCATCCACTTCAAACGAAGAATTTCGCCTGAGAGGTGAACGTTATCACGCATAGCCTTTGCAACTCAGAGCTCTAGCATCTCATCAACCTCAGGATGCTCAACCTGCTTAGCACGCTTAGCGCGCTTTGCATGATCTGCATTGTGAGAGGCCTCTGATTCAGCCCAGCGCTGACGCCACTTTGTCTCGTCTTTGAGCCAAGCAGAGATCAAGGGCTGTTTGATGCAGAGATTGGGGTAGATGGGTGCAAAGTGCTTTGCGGTCTTAGACTGGTTTTTACCATTGGTATGATGCCAGTCTAAGATCTCAAT